AGGCTTTTTGCACGCTCGCGCGAGGTTTCTTTCGGAGGGAAGGACAGCGAATTCCGACGGAGATCCACGCGCACGCTCGTAGTACAGCCTGTCGATTAAAAATCATTTCATTACCGTCGTCGCACCGCGACGCAGACGCGGAACGAAGTTAGCCGCGGCAAATTATATTCCGCCAGCGAGCGAACGGGAGCGGACGAGATTGGTATCGGGGTCGGCCCGAAGGGCCAGGCCGCTGCGAAAGAAGGTCAACGAGGGCGCTGGCTTAACGGAAAGGACGGACGGGGCCGAGCGGGCGGTGGAGAAAAGGGAGAGAAACGCGCTGCCGCAGCACAGCGCGACGCGGCGCGGTGCGACGCGACGCGACGCGACGCGACGCCGTCTGCAATTACAATGCCTTAATTTTATGCGTCAAGTTAAGCTCCTTTTAAGAGTCCCGAGAGTGGTTAAGTCCTCCTTACGACTCCCTCTCCCCCTTCCATGCCCGCCTCGTCGCCACCCGCCGCTCCTCTCGCAGCGGAACATTCGTTTCGCCGACGCCGTCTTATTCATGAAGGGTGAGCCTCCCCGAGACCGACGGCGCCGGGGCGCGACTTCCGGCCGTGGGACTCGGCGAAATTATTTTAATTTGTTTAGAGACCGTCCGCGCGCGCGCGCGCGCCACCTTTCGCCCCATTTTCTCTCCGTCCGCCTTTCCCTTCCGTCTCGAGACGAGATGGCCCGTTCGTTCGTTCCGCGTTCCCGAGATCGAGAGAGCTGGAGTTCTTCATCCGCAGATTGAAGTTCCGCTGTCTAATCTGCCGAACGATCGCGACGCACGAGGCGTATCAACGGTAATAAAGTGAGAGAGCAATGCTGATAATTTATGAAATAGATTCTGACACGGCGGGACGGCCAAGTCTGCGAATGATCCACCTCGGCGAGAGATCGAAGCGGCGCCTCTCGGGTCTCGACGAGCGTCAGCTGAAAGTTTTGCATGACGTGTCGATCGTGAAAGAATCTATTTGAAACGGGCTTGGGGTGTATATGTATGTACGGCGGAAAGGTGGAGAGGGGGGAGAATGTTAATGTATAAAAACTTTTTATTGTAAATATTGAAATAAAGGCACAACTGCCTATCGTTGCAGATATTAAAATAGAAATCAAATATTCAGCATCACGGCCGGTATTTCGGAGCGATTCGCGTTTACATGTATTATATTTCTGAAAATAATCGATCTCTTGCGTGTCCGGCGGATTAAAATAAAATAAAAATAGAAAAAGAGCTATACGACCGTGTGCGCGGATAAAAGCTCTATCAAAGCGCAATGGGTGTCCTCGCAGCGGAACATAGAATTAATAATGCAGTTTCGACGATCTCTCTTGGACGTGGAATATGTCGTGGAAAAATTCTCGCAGTCAAAGTGCATGACGGGGTTTATGCGATCGTGACGTGCTTTATCGCTCGCCAGTTGCTGTTTTTGACGGCGATAATGGATAGTCGGCAGTGTTGATTAAAATTTCCCCGGGGGATTATCAACCGAAAAATGCGCGTGACATGGCGAAAAGCGCGACAAAATTCTGACTATTGTAATTATCATTACTATTGTATCGTGTTCGTGTTAAATAATCGGCGAAATGTTGCCGACAATTTAATTTATATTATCCACGTCGCTCGAGAGAGAGAGAGAGAGAGAGAGAGAGAGAGAGAGAGAAAGCGGGGCACGTTTGTATCTCTCCGACTCTCTCTCTCTCTCTCTCTCTCTCTCTCTCTCTCTCTCTCTCTCTCTCTCTCTCTCTCTCCCGTCCATCCGTACCTCTTTCCTATAATTTATGTACAATTTGCGTATAACAATTTGCGCAGTTTATGCACGATTTTTCTTAACTTCTCATTCTGCACAATAAATCTGTCATTAAAATGGATTCCATTTCCGCCAAATATTACGTTTCACTTTGCGCTCCGTTATATTCCCGCGACGCGCTCGGTAAATGCACCGTTCGCGATTTTATCTCTCGTACTCGACGCACACATGGTTGACGCTCTCATAGTAAACGCGCATTCCCGCCTCGTTGCTCCGTGTTTTTTACGAATTTGAGAAAAACCACGACGCCGAAATCGCGCGATTAACGTAAGCAATAGGACAAAACGTGCGCGCGTCCTATTCAGAACAGATTTAATTTATATTACCCACACCGAGAGAGAAGCACTTTTCTCTCTCTCTCTCTCTCTCTCTCTCTCTCTCTCTCTCTCTCCCCCCTCCCCATTCTTCCGCATCTCTTCTCTGCAATTCACTCGCAACTTGCATATAACAACTCGCGCAGTTTACACGCGGATTTTTTTCATCTCCTTATTAGATGATTATTAGATGATCTCATCTCCTCTATATAGATGATAACAATCCTTTTCACGATCCTTTTCGCGAACTTCGGCAAAATTGCGATACACCAAAGTGGCGCGATTAACGTAAACGACACGCCGGAACGCGCGTCCTATTCAGGAACGGAATAATTCGATACAGCTGTACGCGGTGGTGCACTTTCCAACATCGTTTCGGCGACACGGCGGCAGCAACGGCGACAACGATAACGACGACGACGACGACGACGACGGCGACGGCGGCGGCGACGGCGCGCTCGCCTTCACGCTTAATTATCCGCGCGACACAACACGGCCGTGCGCAGCCTCGCCGAATAAAATCCCCGGCGAAGGATTTACTCGCTCCCGGCCCGGAAGCAGTCGTCCGTCGCAATTAGACCTTTTTACTTCGGACGTGTGTTCGCGGACCCTTTAATTTCACGTAGACCGCGTAAATCACGGCTGCCGCCGGGCGGCGCGCTGTGCTTGCAAGAAGCAAGAAGCAGCGAGCGAGTAAGCTCTCCACTTCGCGCAGGTTGACGCGTTAAATTTGCGGCTCGGTCGTTCCGGCGTGACTCGTCGCGCTCATTAAGAACCGATCCAATTTGTCTCGGGGACACGAGGGTCCCGTGGCAGCTAAGGAAAGAGACAGAGAGAGACGGAGAGAGAGAGAGACGGAGAGAGAGAGAGAGAGGGGGGGGGAGAGAGAGAGAGACGAACACCGCCGAAACTTGGGCGAGGGCAACCTCGCGATCGACGGCTCGCGAGTTGCCGCCTTACCGCGCCAACTTTGCCACGACGCCGTCGCTCGATTAGACTTACGAACTCGTTGGGGAAAGCGCGCCGCCCGCGTCGCCGACCGATAATTGACGGCGCAGACGGCGCAGATGCACCTGCGTCGCGCTACCTGATCTTTCGCTAATGGAAACAGACAGCACCAAGTCAGCTCCGATAGACGTATGCTCGGTTAGCCGTCTCCTCTCGCCGGCGCGATAACAGCGAGTACTTGCCGTGTGATTAGTCATGGACGCGCGATCCGACGTCTCCCGCTATGGGATGCATGTGTATGTGCGTCTGTATACGTAGTCCAGTTCTTTCATGGTAAAGCGGACGTGCTGTGTGCTACTTTTCCAGGGGAGGTAGAATCGATCGAGATAAATCGGATTATCGTCATCGTGCGCACTCACTGGGGCAACTCCGGTAAGTTGCAACGCGAGCGAACGTACGAACGAATGAGCGAACGAGCGGACGAAAGAACGATATAACCGGCTGCGAGTGCGGCTCTTCTTTTAGCGAGACCTTATACCGCCCCCTGAAAGCTTGGGAAGTAAGAGGTTATCTGACTCTCTCGGTCGAGTGCACTTCTCCGTCTGTATTGGGTCTCGAGCTTTCCGGCCCCCCCCCCGCCCCTCCCTCTCTTCTCACTCTCTCTCTCTCTCTCTCTCTCTCTCTCTCTCTCTCTCTCTCTCTCTCTCTCTCTCTCTCTCTCTCTCTCTCTCTCTCTCGCTCTCTTTCGCTCTCTCGCGAGCTCCTCGACTATGACGAATTGCGAAAGTTCGGTGAAAAATTGGCCGAAGCCAGATAAGAGCGCCGCGGGGTGTATTGTGCGTCGTACTTTGGTCGTCGGCCATTCGTTCCTCCGCTTACTTTCATCCCCGGCCGACTTAACCCGCATTATTTAGCCCGGCCCGACCGCCCCCTGTCCCCTCCGTGCAACCCTCGCGCCCCGCATTCGGCCGCGCACGAGGGAAGATTTTCAAATAGCTCTGTCCCGGGGAAAGTTTTCTTCGGGGGCTGACAAATGCGAATATCGTGCGGCGGACGGCGGCGTCGGCGAGACTCCTCGCCGCCGCACCGCGCCGCGCCGCCTCGCGCTATTTGCGACGCGCGCGAAACTGCGGTATTTAACTCTCGGCGCCGGTGCGCGTTGCGGCTTGTATTTCTCGCGGTAATCCCGTGATTTGTATGCACGGCCCGAGGACACTTCGCGTCCTCGCCGAAGCTTGGCGTCAACGCCGGCCGGGCCGAGTATATCAGTCGCGAGCAGACTTCTCTCTGATTGCGAACGAGTAACGGGGCGCGATGAAGAGCGCCCACGATGGGAACTTATTTCGGAGTCTTTCGGAGAGCCGCGTCGACGATGCGATAATCCCCGCTGTAAATCTCGCTATTCTTCCTAATTCTTCGCTCTATTAGCGAATGAGCTTTACCCTGCCCCTTCCCCTGCTCTCCCCACGTATCCGTTTTCCCTCGTCGTTCCGACTCGCGCGTAAGGTAAACATCCCAGCAGCTGCACGTGTGTATGTTGTGTGTGTGTGTGTGTGTGTGTGTGTGTGTGTGTGTGTAAGACGTTCAATTGTAGAAATTGAACCAAAATCGTTGCATCTTTGCAACGGATCATTTCATCTAATTGTTTAATTAATCTGAGGGCTGTGAAGTATATGAAAATTTATTGAAGCTGGTTCTTTTCTCTCGATTTCTTCGAAAATAATAGAAATTTCGAAGCACACCGACAAACTAACGCATGGACGCATTCAGAGTGAAACTTTTTGCAGTTACGACCAAAACGTTGTTTTCACCCTGCTGTATTTCTCACTCGCACGATACGACTGCAAATAAAGATGGAAATCAGTCCCCTTCATCGAAGATTGTGGCGATTGTGTTGCAGTTACGACGCGAGGAGTCGGCAGTTCGGCAAGGCGAAATTGTGGAGTGCTCCGCACTTTTGGGGCCAACGGGCGACCTTCCGGTCGAGTCCACCGGCGCAGTTGACGGTCTCGGATCTTCGGCAGAGCGACGAGGGGGTTTACAGATGCAGGGTTGACTTTCGGAATTCGCCGACGAGAAACTTCAAAGTTAACCTCACCGTTATCGGTAAGTAAACGCGTTGCCTTTAATAATCGCCACTATATCACCTCGCGTGTGTAAACGCGTCGCCACGCCGAAAGCGACATATTTCTCATTTATCGTCGCGCCACAGGCGTATTTTTCACGCTGGCACGCGTCAGTCGATATCGCGAATCCGCGCCTTTTTTGTCCGCGCATCTTTCTCACAAGTAACACTACCCAACTGTCACTCGCAGATTCCGAATGAAATTTGGCATGCACGTAGAACATTGAAAAATATTGAACACATGTTTTTTTATATCGGCTGACAACGCATTTTAAGGGTGGAAATCACCCCTTGATCCCTGAACATGAAAGCACTGTTTCAACCCTTTGTACATATTACATGTTATATGTGATTTTCGTCAAACTTGTCTTCCATTGAACTAGTCAGTAAGGAGTTTTTAGGATCGCTGATTACGAATCTGGAGATAAAATTACAAAATTCAAGATGGCGGAGTATGACAGATGGCGGAATATGACGCAATATGACAGATCGAAATTGTACCAGTGAAGGAGGATATTGCCTCAGGCAATTACACTTACTGAATTTAACAATGAATCGGTATTCAAAATTGATCTGTCGCGTCAATTTTTTTCAGATTAGGAAGTTGATCTTCCAAAAGATTATTATTCGTCAGTATCCGAGCGGAATATGTAATGATATTCTGACATATCTTGATAAGATATAGATATAGATATCTTGATCTCTTATGCCTTATATTTATTCATTTATTTTTATTCTATTTTTTTATATATTTATTCATATTCATTCATATTATTTAAATGAACTTCTGAACTTGAACAGCAAAAAATCTATTAATGTTCAAAACGTTAATCTTAACGTCCAGAAAATTTATATAATTAATATCCTTGAAAGTTTACAATAAACCTTCTTAAAAATCTTACAAGTAAAACACGTTACAATAATAATAATAATAATAAAGTGCGACAAACGAATTATATTTTGACTTCCAACTTCAGATTCGTAATTAAACCTCCAGATACCAAAGTTGGTTTGAATCAGCCATCTTTTTAAAAATTCTGTCCGCCATCTTGAATTTTGTAATTTCATCTCCAGATTCGTAATCAGCGACCCTAAAAACCCCTTACTGACTAGTTCAATGGAAGACAAGTTTGACGGAAATCACATGTAACATGTAATATGTACAAAGGGTTGAAATAGTGCTTTCATGTTCAGGAATCAAGGGGTGATTTCCAACCTTAAAATGCGTTGTCAGCCGATATAAAAAAACACGTGTCCAATATTTTTCAATGTTCAACGTGCATGCCAAATTTCATTGAAATCTGTGAGTGACAGTTGGATAGTGTTATTTGTCAGTGTCCTCTTTCTCAGCCGTGTGTCCTCACACCTCGCCAAACTCGCGCATCTCACAGTCGCCAAACTCGCGCATCCCCTAAAACTCGTAGCTATTCCTCGCCCGCCTCCTTAAGTTGCGATCCAATCGTAAATATCCGAAGCGCGCTGAAACGCAGTCGCAGTTTACAACCGCGCTCGCGAAACAACTCGTTCATAATTGCCATTATGGCTTGTAAGATGGACGGAGAGTATATGCGAGTCGGCAACTTGCCGCCGTCTGCGTAGCGACAGCTAACTCCGCAGCATCTCGGGAAATCGATCTGCCTGTTTTCGTTTCCGCGGCGAAACTTGGACTTTTCGTATACCGAACTAACTCGAGGCTCGTTAAACTCTGACGAAATTGCGCCCGAGTTATCCTTTCTGCACGAGCTACGATTATTTCCCTCGCATGCATTCCCGGTCCCGGTCCCCCCCCCCTCCCCCCGCCCCATCCCGCTGCTCGGCGTGCTCGCTCGCGTGCGCGCTTATGAATATTTATCGTGGAATTTCGTCTATCTGTCGGCTGGGCCGTGACGACAATTACCGGCGTTCTAATCGCGACATTAATCGCATCGTGTACGCTCCGCATTGAATCAAACTTTCGACTCCGTGAGAGACTCACGGCGGTGAGAAACGTCGTCGTATTGACAAGAAAAATATACGCTCAAGTTCATACATATACGACGCACGCGTGTATCGGCATTACAAATACTTTTACTCTGGCCTGAGTATGGAGTAAAGGTTTTCTCTGTTCACCCACGTACCTTTCAAACCAAGATAATCGAAGGGTTGTTTTCATTCCTCTCGCTGTTAAACAAAATATAAAAGGTACCGAATCGTGGTAAAACAACGTTACATTGTTTGTCTCATTTATTTTATTTATTATTCTTTCAAGTAGTCAAAGGCAGTGTTGCGTCGGCGTAAGCCAGCTCCTCCATTTTGAGACGCAAATTTCTGCTAAACCGCTCGAGCACTAGAATCGAGGATGCAGCACAAAATTAGCATCTAATTAACGCTTAATTCTGCTGTAGTGCTCAGTGGGATATTTTACGCTGAGGATGCCCAGCTTAATGGAGAGCCTCAGCATCGTCGCGGTATCGTAACCGCCGGACAAACGAGAGGCGGACAACGGAGCGATGTAAATCTTAAAATCTCGACTCGGTTTTCTTCGTTTCTCCAGCGGAAACTCGAACGCGCGTGCGCACGCGGCTGGCTGCAGGCTCGTTAAACTTTCACAAAATTGTGCTCGAGCGAGGAAACTCGACGAGGAATCGGCCGCCGATACTCCGGCGATCGTCGTTGCGAGTGGCGAGCCGATCCCAAGAATAGTCGTTAATCCGGGACCGAGCGACCACTCGTACAATCAGTGAACCATTGAAAGCGATCCTCTGTAAACGATTGCGCTGAGAGCACTGTCGATTGGCCGGCTTGTCCGTACTTTGATTCGCTCTTCCGTCGACGCGGCCGTTAAATCGCAGAGTCGAATCTCCCCCGATAACAAAGCTCCGGATTATTTGCAAAGTCGTTGATAATTGCTGCGCCGAAGCTCGTCCCTCTCTCGCCGCCGACGTACAATAATAATCACACAGTGTGATCGAGTAAATCTATTGCTGCTTCACTCACGTACGCCTACAACTTTTTATACCGAACGAAAGTTATAACGAGAGAGAGAGAGAGAGAGAGAGAGAGAGGGCGTGTGTAAACAGTCGAGATTAGAGACCCTGGAATAAGAGTCCGGTCAATCTCTAGTTTTGAAGCAAAATGGCGTTGATAGTGTTACGTCCTGCGGACTCCGCGCACTCTAGACTTCTTTTATAAATAAGGAAAATTGAATTTATTATTACTTATTATATGGCCGGATGCGCTCAGGCATGTTACCACACGACGCGATCTCTGGAAGTTTCGGTGCTCTGGAAATATTAACAGTCTTGAACCAACTCCGATCTTGTTTCCCACGCGCTTAGTCAACGATAACAGTATCGCGACATCCTTCTTAGAAATATCGATATTTCCTTCTTAAGATTGCTGCCACGTTTTTTTTAAACAAAAGACTCTCGAAAACCTCTTATTGCCATATGTATCCTATCTCCTACAAAGTTATCTTAAAGACACTGCAACGTATTCTTAACCCTCACCTCTAAAAAAGCATTCGAAGCACAGTTCTATGACCATATTTGGGCATGAAAATTAGATTTCCGAAACAATTCCCTAAAACCCCACTCTCTCAACCGAGCTGACGTTTTGAGAAAAGCCAAAAGGCCAACTGACTTCTCGTCAGGCCGACCTGCAGCCAGGACAGAAGCTTCTCTTCAGCACCCCTTCAGAGTCTCCTAACAATCTAGCCTACTAGTGGCTTAGACAAATCAGTGTTTCTCCAGTCGTTAATTATTCTGTGCGACGATCTCGTGCATTTTTGGAGCATCGCGACCAATCCAGCGGAAACCAGTTTCCTATTCTTGGCGCAAAACTTGGGTCTATCCTCACAGACATGCAGCAATTACACTCTTCATTTCCGACAAATAGCATAGATCCAGCAGTATTTTATACTTTCTTTATACTTTCTTTTACCTGAGTGACCTCTTTCTTTTTATTTTTCTTCTTTTCTTCTCTCTCTTTTCTTTTCCTTTCCTTTTTCTTCCTTTTCTCTATCCCCCTTGGCATTCCTCCTTAATTGTAAAATTCAGTGTCAGTGGCCCAATCTTTTCGATCACAGTCGGACATAACGAACACGGAATTTTGCTCAAACCGCGATTGTTTTATACATATATGTATACGTACACATTATAAAATCTTACAAATTTTATTTCATTGTGAACTTCCGTCTAATCATCAATAAAACAAGTTATTTGTAATTGCAAGCCAATCACGTTTTCCAACTAATTATTCTCAACAAAAAATTCTCTCTTCCCTCAACTGTCGCTCACGGTCCTATCCCAGGTAAAAGGATTCCTTGACCTAAATAAAGGACCACCGACGTACGCCCGAGCCAGATAAAGGGGTCATTCCGATCCTTGATCTGCACCGCAGACTTGCAAGTACGTCGTTCCTCCTCCAGAACGTAACAATAGCTATAGATGACTTTGTTTGCAACTGTCATGCGACGTTAACCTAAAAGAGTGTGTTTAGTTATATTTATCAATTATAATACGTCAGTTCATACATTATAACATGATTAATGCTTATGGAATGAAATATAAAAAAACAGAGTTATGGGAGCACGAGCCTGTATTTCTAGTGAAATTATATACTCGAATCTGTTCTTTAATTATTTTATATTTGTGTTAACTGTTATCACTTAATAGAAAATGACTGATTGTTGTGTTCCTGAATGCAAAAGCAACAGTGTTTGTGAAATAAATATACGATATATTAATTAATAAATGCAATACTAGATCCTGGTAAACCAGAAAATATCAGTGTGACTCAAGGACTGTCATAAAATCTCACATCTAATAATGAAGCGTTTTATTCTATTTAGATTAAAAATAGAATGCCTGCAGAAAGGTTGTCCAATCACACCAGTGTATAATAGTACAACTATGGCACGACATTCGATTTTAAGATAAAACGTTAATAAATAATTTATAGTTATATATTAAATATATATAATAATAAATATTACGTAAGA